CAACACACCTAAAGATTATAAAACAAAAAAAAAAAAAAGAGAAAGAAAAAAGAGTCACAAATAAACAAGTTTGCCAAATGAAATTTCATTGATAAAGACTATACCAGGATTAAAATATAAAGGAAACAAGAAAGATATTTCACCAAATGCTCATAACCTGGGTAAACAATAAAATTTCAAATGAAAAGCTACAGAAGATCGGGATTATAAAAGAACAGAAAAAATGCAAAGACCTTATTAATAACTACAAAGAGAAAGATTGTAAGCTCTAAATATTCTGTAAAACACTCTCTCGATATATGTATATTATTAGCATTGTGTATGTCAGGAATTTTCTTCGTTACTTTTATTGAATCCGTACATATTCGGAAAATCTGAGAGGATTATTCATTTCAAAAGGCATATGAATACTATTATTAAAGTAGTATGATTGTCATGCTATTAGAATTCTCATGCATTGCAATGTGTGTAATTCAATTACGTGTACACCAAAATGACACTCTATCATATATTATCCTTTATCAGTGTCTTCTAGTTCTAAGGTGTGGGAATATCGTTCGTGAATATATCTCTCGAACTGATCTTACTTTGATCTGATAAATCTTCTCCAAAGATAATGAAAAATTGTCAAACAACGAGCAATTTGACAATTTCCATTGGACAACTTAATTAACTATACATAGTAGTCTCTTACAAAGAAACAGTCCTTCTCTCCTTCCTCTCAGTTTAAAAGCTGCGTTGTTTGGATAACAAGGCACCTCGTATGTATTACAAGTTATGACTAAATGGCAAGCAATTGATTTCATGAGCTGAAAAGTATCCTTGAAAATGTCCTATTTTACATGTGATTGTTCGTTCACTGTATATATTCATATGTAAAGAAATAATTTGTTCGCAAAAACTCGATATTTTATTCCAAGTAAATGGTTTTCTCAATTATCTACCCTATCGTTAACAAAAAAAAAAAATGCGGTGGTAAAAAACTCAGATGCCTTGCACCATACGATACAACGAACATTCGATACAAACGTCGTTTCCTTATGATTAATTTCTAGATCATCATCCCTGTGCCTCATCATTTCACTAATTTGGCTTTTGCCCTTGTTGCTATTTTTTTTTTCTTAATCTCCTCTCTGTGTCCATATCCTGATGTTACATGCAAGAATCTTATGCACACACATACGAAATGTAGTGATGATAAGACACATTCATTCGATCACACTGACCATTCTTCTTCATCAGATTTACATTTATACCATATAAATAGTACGTTCTTCTTTTTTATATTAAATTCATATTGAAACTGAAGACATCACAGTAAACACACATTTATTCATTCGTGAAATATGATCATGTTCCTATCGTAATCGTATGTTTAATACTGCAACAGTTCTGCATATGTTTGAATATTAGGTGAAGATAAACAAATGGAAACATAAAGCCTTTGATACTTTGTAATCATGAAATGAAAAAAAGAAATGAGATGATACTGTCTGCGGTAGAATTACTGTTGCTTTCTAATTAGAAATTTTGCGTCCCAAAACCAAGTCCAAAGTATCGAAAGAATTTCCCACGCGAACGCACAATGTATAAAAGCTACAAATTCGAATTTGTGAATACGCATCGGTGTCCTATAGAGACTGGAGAAAACACACGAAATGAATGGTCCGAGAAGAGATCCGCAACGCGAATTCGATTGGTTGTAGGACACAATAACGATCGTCTACTCATTGCAACTGTGCACATTTTGCAAACGAAAAGTTACTAGAAATAAAAATGAAGGAATCACATGGTGAAGAGTTCACATTTGGCTTATAAATAAATTTATCAGCATTACGAAACATTGATAATCTTTGAAAATGAATATAAAGAATTTCGTTTCTCCGAATATACCAATTCATAACAAGGTTTTTGTTCAACATTTATGCAAGAGGGCTGGATTTAACCCACCTGGCACCTCTGCTACCAACTAGGTAAAAACACCTGATTTCATAAAGAGAAATTTTTGTCCCATCATTTCTCCCATCGAACTTCCATTGGTTACTGCTTGCTGATTTAAGGACAATTGTCAACTTACGTGCGTGCTTTGTAAACTCTTCGAACAAGTCATCTCGGTCTCGATTCTTTGGAATATTTCCCACAAACAAGCGGTGATTGTTATAAGATACGGTAACACCAATCTTTTTCCCTTTCCGAATCTCATAATCATTCAGCTGTAAGAATAATGTGGAAGGAGAGTGCCAATTAAGCTTGCCTTTTATGATTTCACCTGCTTATTGGCTGTCTGAACGTGGGATTTCATGAAGCGTCCTTCGGGGGGAAATTTTACATAAGAGGACCAAAAGCATGACTCGAAGGATCGTGGATCGTACGGTAATTCGAGGAACAATATCATACAGGGTGGGTGGGAGTGCCTGTCCGTTTGTTAGCGAGCTAAACGCCCCAGCGGTCCACGCAGATCTCCCATACCCCCAAGCTTGAGACTTAGTCATGAATATCACATTTGCATATTGCAAAATTGCAATGGTGCAAGACAGTGTGTATTTTTTTGTCAGTGTGTGTATATATACATTATATATATATATATATATATATATATATATATATACATACACACACACATACATATATATACACATACATATATATACACATCTACATAATAATTCTTAATCTAAAGTATATATATGTATATATATATATATATACACACACATATATATATACATATAGCTTCCACATTTTCTCTTTCCATTTCCTCGCCTCTTTTTCACCTTTCCGAAAAAAAAGACGAAGAAGCTATCAGTAATAAAGATTGATGAAATTGATCAATTGCACAAAATTAGGAAACGAGGAGGCAAGGGGATGACAAGGTAATCGCATGTATAGAAGAGGAAGCAGATAAACTCATAATTCAACCTAAATATGCGAGGAAAAGAAGACTTGGACCAGAGAGGTGTTACTGTTCACTAATAAACCGAGAGGCAAGGAGACTGACCAGAACTAAAGGTGCCATAGGTAATATCGCAGAGATCACAAGAGTCAATGTGATCTTCAGATGCTCCATAGTTCCATACCATCTACAACCACTACTTAAAAGCTACCACTCTTAAGTTATACAATACAGGTAGACAGGTAGGTATAGGTAGGTAGGTAGGTACACACGCCTCGAATTCACTTTACCTGTTAATTTACCAAATTCGTCCAAGATCTCCTCTTTGCCTTTTGACTTTGGTATGTTCCCCACGAAAAGTCGTAGATTAGGAACGCTAATGTTTACTTTCAGACTCTTGCCGGGTTTTATTTCGTGATTATCGAGCTGTGGGAATGAAGAAAACAGACACATGCCTAATTTTGTTCCAATGAGGGGTGGTTCGTGTTTTTAAGATAATTACGACGAGATCGCTTTTTTTGTTTCTTTTTTGGGAAAAATTTCAAAAATGTGCAATTTAGTACAATTAATTAACATGGCGTCGGTCCATGAAAGCGAGAAAGTGGCATGCGCTTTGTCGCTCGAGTCTTCACAATATAGCAAACCGGCGTTCACGGTATCATTGTATTCCTGTAAACAAATTTTAAGCCTACTAATTTTCAAAATTTTGTTACAAAAATTGTCACTGTCCAATAAGAGTCAACCAATTAGGTAAATATACCCCTAACCAATTAGACCACACAATCATCGTGATTTTCGGAAAGGTTCTCCACTCCCAATTTTGCCCACTGAGCAAAGAGGAGAGCTGGAAAAAGAAACTCATCCATAGGACGTCATTAATATATATTTCTGTGTTACTCAATATTTGGGATCAGTTGGATATAACTGCGTACTTAAACACGAATAAATGGTCAGGGACATATACATGTGAAACATACATTATGTGGATTGTTCCTAGCTATAAATATGAATATAAATATATAAATATATACATATTTATACATATATAAATATATATATATATATATATTTATGTATATATATATAATTTATATTGTAAAGGTAAGTAAAAATTAAAGAAATAATAAGAATAACAGACTTGAAATAATAAAATGTCTGCATGAAATCTACTAGGAAAGACAAAGTATAATAGACAATACAGAACAAGCCACATAGGAATACAGTAACAGTCATTCGAAATGTTCAGCAAAGAAAAGCAAATTCTTAAAAAACATAGTTGACATGGACATATATACATCACTTTACTATACTCTTATTCATTGATTAGCATTTTTATGGCTCAGCCGTAGCACTGAATAAATTATTATCTGTAAACTGAGTCCACACATTCATAGAATCAAAGAAAGGAAAACAACACGAAGTATATTTTCCACAAACTAAAATTTGAAAATTTCATGAAACAACAAAACTTTGGATCAAATAGTTCATAAACATTTCGAAAGATCGCACATCTTGGTAGCAATAACAATTTTGTAACATTTCCAAAAATTTTGAAAATAAAAAAATAAAAATGGGTCCAAATTGTCCATAGAGCGGCGCGTTAATAACTATATAGGGCAAAAAAGTAAGTTTATACATCATGTACCTACACATTAATAATCATATATCAATAGATCTAAGGAAAGATGTTAACATACCTCTCGGACAGCTTGCTGCGCAGCTTCCCTATTAGTAAATGTGATAAATGCGTATCCTCTGTTGGAACCTGACATAGGGTCCATCATCAGTCTCAAGTCCCAAATTTTTCCGCATTTCTCAAATAATGGAATTAATTCGTCTTCGTACATGTCTTTTGGGATTTTGCCACAAAATACCTTTTCACAGAAATGTTCGATGTAATGAATAAATAAAGTATTTGCGCATAAACGTAAAATGTTTAACATACGAGTCTTTCGAAACTGATAAAATTTTACATGTATACAGTTGTGTTAAATGTCACACACACACACACACACACACACACACACACACACACACACACACACTTTTTTTTAACGACTATTATATAAAAATGAAGTAACATATTGAAACTTTGAATATATGACGAAAGTTTCCAATCGTTTCGAATAATATTCAGAATAACTCAAATTTAGATATAATTGCCCGAAAATGTTCAAAGTAGAAATTCCATAATGCCTGTAAGCCCAAATATTTTTAATATTCGTAATAGAAAACATTTAAGAATAAGTCATTATATACGAAAAATAAAAATCTAACGTACATTTTACTTTTTCTTTATAACAAGCATGAACATATGTAAGTTTACCTCACAACCAGTTCCAGGCGTAGGACCCTCCCAATTTGGAGGAGGACCACCGTATTTTCTTTGTCCGGTAGTTACATCCAAAGGATATCCTGTTCTCTCTAAGATCATCTGAAATTAATCATTTTATCTATTATAGAATACCAACTAACGCCGATCATCCGAGTAAATAGCTAACGGATATACATAAAATAACGGAGAAGTTTGGAATTGAATTTGGAATCAATTAGATGTGTATAGCTTCGAATTACCTTGATTTTGTCCTCATCCGGGGCTTTTGGTGTCGTACTGGTGCCCGTACCTTGACCGGCACGACTCTTCTGTCGGTATGTCTTCATCACTCCACAAAGATATGCGGATTTGTTAGATACATGTTCCAGATTGGATTCTAGAAATTGCGTGAGTACATTTAATGCGCCGTCAACTGGAAATTCTTTTAGAGCGTCGAGAGCTCTCTCATCCAAGTCGACGTGAGCCAATTTTCCTGTCTTATAGATCTCATCCAGTTTGGCAGCCACTTTTTCATCCAGCCCATATTGCATGAGTTTGTTAAAGTCCTCTGTCCGTTCCACATATTCCATTTCCTCCTTCGACTGTTTTTCTTCCATTTTTATCTCCCCATTCCCTTCTGCCATAGCTGGAATAATAATATCTATTATTGTTAATCAAAGCCATTTATCTCTCTTTGATACACAAAGTACAACATATAAATTATCCATCTTATGACTTTATTTTTTTCTTCAAAATATTACAAAAATATGTAATATTTATAATAGAAAAACAACACAACAGTCAAACATGTTAAGTGACAATTTGTTTTTCTCATTACAGCTCGAGACAATGAATCGAAAGTATTATCCTTTCATTATATAGATTATTTGGCAAACAATTAATTAATCTTGTATTCGATATGAAATTAGCTACACATTTCCTAATACACGAATGACTATGATGAGTAAACATATGTGTGTACATATATATATATCTTAAGATGAAACAAATTTATTTTCTGATATATTTTTTACATTGCATATATCAATTGGACTTTGCTTTCTTCGCTTTCTTGATGATAAAATAAAGAAACAGAAAAATGTGTTCCAGGAAGAAAAATAATTTTGAAGTCATAACCAAGACTATATATACGAGTAGAGAAAATTGATACTAAAAAAACCGTTCCGAATATAGAAATACAAAAAAAAACCAATAAGCGTTGCACACATGCACATATTGCGCTTACAAAACTATGACTCATTGCGTATAATTATCATGCTTACTTTAACGAACTGGTAACCGTCTGTAGCGAACTTTGTTAATTACGCTTCAATTAAACTCACTCTGCCGAGAACGCGCTGGTCAAAAAGGGAAATCGCATCTGACGGGAGGAGAAAGGCACACTTTAGAAAAATACACGACGACAAAGGAAGAGTTGAGGAGAGGAGGAAGAAAAATCGACCGGGGGGGAAACGAGTCGCAGATATTCCCTATTTGCTCCGATCACGCAATCGGAAATGCACGCACGATCGCGGAGGAGTGCGAGGCGACATGGAAGCGCGGCGAGTTCGGTGGATGCGACGTCGATATTGGCGCGTTCCGGTGCGAAGATCCGGTCGGGCTGAGAAATCCTCGGCGGCGAGCGAGCGATCGGGCGAAAAAAACGGGAGAGATAAACGTCACAAACGACAGATCGCGAATATTTCAACGTCACGAAAGACACAAGGCGGGAAACAAGAGACGGGCGAACTCGCGCGGCCGTACACCGCCGTGCATCGCGTAACGTTATCGATGACACTCGCGTGCGCCGATTAGACGGCGAGCGCGATCTCGCTCGACGGCAACAACCGTCGTCCGCTTCGACCGGAATTTGCGCGGCAAATCGCGCGGAGCCAATACTCCCATCGGTGCCCGTTCTTTTTCGGCCGTGTCTCGCGACCGCCGCTTTTCTCTCTCTCTCTTTCCCGCGCGCGCTTTTGCCTCGCCGGCCGGCGATGCGATGCACACGTTCACACGACGACGACAGCGGCCGCCATGGTACGCAGGATGCACCTATATGCACTCGCGGTCGCGAAGCGCGGATCGCGCCATTTTCGGCGCCCTCGGGCCGGCTTTATTCGCACTCGCGCTCGTTAAAATCGGCCGCGGCGACGCACACCAGACGCGCCGGCGACGACGGGGAGAGAATCTCACGGCAGGAATCGTTACCTTGCAAAATAAACGGACGGCGATCCTCCGGCGCGAGGAAATGGCGGCAGACGTCAACGTGATCGCGCACTACGGGGTTCACAAAACGACGCGCAAAGATACGCTCGAACCCAGCGACACGACGTTGGCCATTTTCTCGCGGCGGCCGCGCTCGCGCGAATTCTGATTGGCGCGCGCGAAACGGCGACGACGGAAAAAAGTCGGCCGCCCCGTGCGATGTTGCGCGAGACACAGAGCGCGCTCGCGAGTTTTCGCCGCGACGATCGCTCGCTCGCACACACGTATGTACACGAACACGTACGTTATGTGCACACATACATGTTTGTATATACGAGACGGCATGATGATGATGATAAGGCGCGCATTCACGCAACGAAGTGATCACGCGGAACGGAATATTCGCGAACACACAGCGAGGTTATCCTCGCAAAATTCTTACGAGGAAGACAGAGAGAGAGAGAGGGGGAGGGAAGAGGGAGCGAGCGCGAAAGAGAGAGATGTGTTCTTTCGGTTGGTTCGGCGCGCCGTCCGCAACACGCACGCACGCGGCAAGACATGCATACCTACATCACGACGAACGTCACGCGAGATTGAATATAATCGCGACGGCGAACGAACAGCGGCACGAGTACACTGCGAGGAGAGGAGGTTAACCGTGCTCGTGAGTCTCGAAATCTCGAATAGCGGCAGGACACGCTGGGCCGGCCATGTATCGTCGACGTGAGCCCTCGCCATTCTCGCGCCCTCGTTCCTGTTTTCGCGTACGTGCGCGCCCTTTCCTTTCGCGAACGACACGCCATTACGAGCGGATTCGCGCGAAACGCGCGAGGATGTTCTGAACACGCGCAACCGTACCTCTCTCTCTCTCTCTCTCTCTGCTCGCCGATATATATCTCGTCGAGATAATTCTCGTTAGCCGCATATTTCGCACGAGTTCCAACGTTGTTCCCACAGGGAGGAAGCACACCGCGTAATGTGTAATTTCGCGTATCGTTGCAGGTGCGGGAAGCATCTCTCACAACTGTGCGTGGACTCGAGACGAAGAAGGAGATCGACTTTGCGGTTTCCGAGCACCGGGCTGCACGCGAGTATGTATCACGAGGCTTTCTTCACAATTCTCATGCCATATTGCAACTCGGCGTCGGTTACCGGCCGGCGCGAGCCCGCCAAACGTGTCGCGCAATGCGTTTCAGCCGAGAGAAGCCATAACAGTTCGACGACGGGGATCCCTCCGCACGATGCACCCGTTGCGCGATCGTTAAGATCTCGAATCATCTCGCGTCGCATTCGACTCGCATACCGTCCGAGATACCCTCCTACTCCTCCATCTTCTCACCGGGCAGCGATCCGTCCTGCGGCAAAATAAGATACGCGAGCGAGATCGTCTATCGAAGAAAGAAATATCCGCAAATTATCGCGCGCGAACGAGGAAAAATACGATCGGAACAACGTGTTCTTTTTTGCTCGCGCATTGTAATGTCCCACATGTTGAACGTCGCGCGATAGAGAGAGAGAGAGAGAGAGTGCATCAATGATCGTCCGATTACTTCGCGCGTAGACAAAGCGGCGGCTTCGCGTAAGTCGTGGCAGAGAGCGAGGCAACATAAAGATAGAAACAAAGAGAGAGAAAGAGAGAAAGAAACAGAAGACATACTGATATAAAATACGTATATACCTGTGCTGAGTTTGTACTCCTCACCGGTAACAATTTAGCGTAGTCGTTGCGATGGTGGAATGCCAGGAGACGACGACACAAGAGAACAGTCAGGATCTCCCGTCGGGTGTAGTAAAACTCATATTAATTGGCACGTCACAGTTCTTGCCGCGTAGTGCGTTCCTCGTATGTTGAGAATCGACGACGACGAGCCAGCGGCGGCGGCAACGGCAGCGGTGACGGCGGGGCACTCGCGATTACGTTCACGCCGTTGCGCGCAGACTGCACCGGGAATATATGCGAACGCGGCGCGCGCGAGCAGCACGAGGGGGTGGTAAGAGAGACGTTCGGCGGAGGCGGCGACGAGAGAAACGCCCGTTTTATCGCGTGGCCGTGTGTGTCACGGTTCCGCGCGGCGGCAGTGGCGGTTTTCGGAGTACCGGGTTGAATTTAGTCGCGTAGGCACTTGTGTGTGATCGACCGTCACGGAGCGCGCACAAGACACCGCGTTGTGGAGAGACAGAGTGAGTGAGAGAGAGAGAGAGAGATATATATATATATATATATATATATATAATAGGAAAGGAGAGAAAGAGAATGAACGCGCGCGCGAAACAGACAGGCAGGTGAAAACAGATAGACACACAAATTCCGTGGTATTTTACTGACGATTGCGGCGGCAGCGGCGACGACGGTGGCGACGACGACGACGATGATGATGATGACGACGACGACAACGATGCGACGATAATGATGACGATGCGACGATGATGATTATGACGAGAGACGATGATGATGAGACGAGAGACAACAGTGAGTGGAGTTTAGTGGCCCGGGCGCAGCAGCGTTTTGATATCGTGTAGTGCCTACATAGCCGTGATGCATAAATTGGACTGCCTCGCTGAAAGAGCGGTGCAGCGGTGCAAGCCCCACAAAACCGAAACCAGTTTGATCGCGCTCGCCGCCGTGTCGCGCCCCAGTCCAATCCGATTCAACCGCTTACCTCTCTTCGCGGTATCCGCGGGCCCCGCCTTACACTTCAGGGCCGTCGCGAGGGAGAGCCCGGCCACCTTGGACTTTTAACCGACGACGCCGGCGAGCCGGCGCGCTACGAAAAATCTTCCGAGACCGTCGGCTCTCTTCTCTCTCTCCCTCTTTCGCCGGCCTTTTCCACGCGGACCCCGGAGAATGCGTTCTACGATTGAAGAGGTTCTACGATTAAAATCCACACGCTTGCCTACACGCTGATGGGCGGAAGAGAGAGAGAAAGAGAGGGAGACAGCGGCGTCGTGTAAAAATTTTGCGCTCCTCTATGGAGAAGCACTCTTTCATTTGGAGCGCGGAAATGTAATCTGGAGACACCGACTATGGATTCGGCGGAGGGTTCATTCTGTAACTGTGCAAATTTTCCGAGAGCTGAGATTGTCCTTTTTTTTTTTTTTTTTAGATCCAGAGGAACAAGCCCGATCTCAGCCCCGGGAAACTGCCGAACGGGTTATGAAATATAAATATTCTGCTGAACGCGGTATTTTTATTAAATTCGTGTTTATATATTGCACGCTTGTTCGCCGACGTTTGACGAACGTTTTGAGGAATCTTGGAAGAACGATCGGGTAGCCTGCGTCGTGCCGACGTTAATTAACCGCGGTTAACCGATTATTGCTTCTGTATGTTGTAGGATATCGGTCGTGCATCGATCTAGGTCATCGCCGCGCAGCTGAACCTTATACGAGGGAGTTAAGGGAAGTCTGCTGCTACACTCTTTCCGTTGCGAGGGGAACACGAGAAAAAAATACGTAGACCGCTACGCTCGATTCTTCGGTGTATTATTTCGAATCTCCGCGAAGAACGGCTACAACGGTGGAAGTTTGAAAGTAACCCCCCTCCCCCCTCGCCGCTGTGTTTCTCTCGAAACCGCGCTGTATTTCAGTGTATATTCCCTTTTGTATCGATTTGCCAATTGGTCTGTTCTTTTTCAAGCTGAACTGGCTGCATTATTGCTCCGAGAAATTTACATACACACTGAAGTATACGAAGCATACATACGAGATTCCCACGCTTAATCGTACGTAAATTTCTCGAACTAGTGCAGCCAGTTCAGCTGAAAAAGAACCGAGTGTAACTGACGGATATAGCGTGGGCAGCCGAAGTTGCAACGTTATCTTATAGCGCGTAATTATGTGAGAAACTTTGTAAACCGTGACAATCCAATAAAGCTCGCGCCAGAGTTCCATTTTCCATGTATCCGCGGCGAACGAACGCGCTATCAAAATACTTCGCCCGATCCACGAAGGATCAAGCTCCAACGAATCTGATCGAGAGAGAGAGAGAGAGAGAGAGAAAAGAGAAGAGAGAAAAAACGCAAAAGGAGCATACCTCTTTCTCTGGCGAGAGAACGGGGCGATGTCAAGGAACCTCGTGTCGGAGAGCAAAATTGAGAAGCGGAGAAGACAAGGGGCAGTTTTCGGGACAAAACTGCAGCAATCTGCGGAGAGAGAGAGAGAGAGAGAGTCGTGACGATCACTTATGCCAGTATCACCCCTCTCTTTAACCGTGCGATTTCATGCGGTGAATTGTCGAGACGCGCATATGTACGCAGCACGCACGCACGTACATCACATACATACATACATACCTACGCGCGCGTCTGTGACCTCGGCGGCGCATCTCCGTTTCGCGCCTCACACACGGGAGGCGACAGGGCGACTCAACTGGGTACGGCCCTGCTATATGCTTCAACCGTAAGCCACCCGTCTGGTCGGGAGCACGCACCCGCGTCCCTCCGACGGCGCAACGCAGCCTGACGATGCGAGTGAGCGAGAGGGAATGAGCGAGGAAAGAAAGGAAGGAGAGAGAGAGAGAGAGAGAGAACGCGCGAGAGCGTGAACGCATCGGCTCTCTCACTCTGCAGAAACCTGTTCGGCTCGAAACTTTTCTACTTTCTTGGCGATTATTTTTATCTGCTGAGAATCGCACACAGGCAGGCAGGCAAGCCGGCCGGCCGGGTGCCGCGCGGCTCGTCGCACCGTGTGCCGGCTCTGCCGGAAGCGGGCCATCCTGAAAACTATCAACGGTCGGCCGGCCGCACTCTCACCGCAAAAATTCAATTTTCCTTTGAACACCGTCGCCCGTACGTACGTACGTATCACGCGTACGTCCTTCTTTTCCCTGTTTCCCGTCTCTCGTTTTGTTCTCTCTCTCTCACTCGCCCCTTTTTCTCGCGTTCCTTCTCTCTCTCTCTCTCTCACTCAACCCTCTCCTCCTCCGAGCCGACGTAGTCTCGCGTTCCTTCGTCTTTGTCCTCCCGGTCTGTCCTCCTCGCGCTCGCACGTTCGCGCTCGCTCCCTCTTTCCTGGTCTCCTCTCTTTCCCCTCGCACTCCGCCTCGATTCCTCGCGTTGTCCTCGTCCCACCAATCGACCGTCTGCGCCGCGCAGACAATGCACTTTTTGCACGACCCTCGTGCGCCATTGTCGTGGGAGGTTGAAATTGCAGTGACGCGCGAGCCGGGCAGGTCTCTCCGCACTTTCGGAGATTCGACGCCGCGTCGTCGCGAGATACGACGACGACGACGATGAGCTATTTGCGCGTATTTACGTATTCGCACGTGCGTTTCGCAATGCGCGCTCCACGGTTGCGTCTCGGCGCGCTCTTCGACGGGGTCATGCAACGTGGAATACAGAGACATGCTCGCATCGCGGCGGGACTCGTCGACCGGCCTATGTGGAATTATGACAATATAACGATCATGACGAATTTGTTCGCGTTTGCGTTTCTCGCGAAAAATAGAAAGAAACAATTCGGGGGCTTCTTTTATTTTCTCTCTCGGGCAAACAGGTTTTTTCGCCTCGTGCGGAAATTTGCCGGCGAGTTCCAGCGCGCCCGCGTTCGGCTAGATGATCCGGTCTTTGTTTTCCTCCGCGCGATGAACGCGTGCGTCTCTGTCTCTCGTCGGTAAGCGGTATAAGCGATTCGAAGGAAAATAATGAGGAAAGAACATTTTTTTCGCTTCCTTTTTTTCAATGGTCTCCTCACCTGCGAGAGTGTAAAGAAAGATGCGACGACAATTAAATTATTCATAGAGAATCGCAAAGAACGGATGCATGTGGGCAGCGAAGCGCTTATGCGAGGACACGTGGGAAGGAAAATAAGTAGAAAAGGACAAGCGGAGTCTTTCTCTCTCTCTCTCTCTCTTTCTCTCTGTCAGATATATACAACTTGCGTTAGTGTAATTTACACGCTATGTTTAGAGATTAATTCAAGCGTGCTCCAACCATTTCCGTGACACACGTCCTAAGTTCAACAAAGTTTTGGCCTGTTCTACAATAAGCCGTATGTCGGATATCGGAACGCAGCCGATGGTCCAATGAGAGAACACGTTCTCGAAAAATAAATTCCCCCATTCAGCGGCATCGGCTGCGTTCCTGATATCCGACATCCGATTTACGGCGTATCGTAGAACAGGCCTTTACGCTAATCGGTTCAATTAGATAATCTCTTTAAAGAGCGTCGAACTTTGAACGTGTGTATACTTTCGGCACTCTGTTATATTTTAATGCGTTTTCCATGCTGCACGCATACATTAACAACCGCCGATTTTCAACACGGTCAGAGAATGATCCTCGGAAATCGTACGCGCGGATAATCTCCACCTCGATTCACAAAAAAATCCGATTATCGTACATCCTTATCATATCTATACATTTTCTCTCGTACATATTGAAAATAACATTTCCATCGCGATTTTGTCGTCACTGTTCATCTCTCTCGTAAGTTCGTCTCTCGCTAGTTTTCATATTCACCGTCCAAATTATTTCGCATTGTAGCGATTTCTTTCCTTTCAACGTACAAGCCGAATGTTCGCGGGAATGTGCAATTACAACTTCGTCCGTCGCACAAGTCTATCCGCGAACGATTCGAGTTGATTCCGGGCACCGGTGACGAATACCGGCAGCGGTACGCGATGCGCGAATGGGTCTATTAGTAGAAGACGCGACACCCTAAAGTGTACGCGCGCATCGAACGACGGCAGCTGAGAGGACGGGTGACAATCGTCGAGGATTTTTCTTCGACGACGATCTTAATGACCGCGTCGCGCAGGTTCGGTTTGTTTCCCACGTTAATATCGGCGGCGATCCGCACGCACGTGGTGCGCGCGTTTCGTTGCGAGGACGAACAGGCAGGCAGGAGTATGTACACGCTCTGCAGCAGACAGCGAGGAAGATTTTTCTCAGGAGAGGGCCCCTCCCCCCGAACACGGCATAAACAGCGTGGCATTAACGGGGGCCAGACCCCCAGCAAGTTGTGCGCTGTCTTCTCTCCTTGGTTCTCCTTCGTCGCGAAACTCGTTTCTGCGCGTTGAGAGAAATTCTCCCTTTTTCGCGGATAAATAGGGGTGAACCTGTATTGTGACAATAATACCACCGCCCGTAGAACAGCCGTGTAGTTCTCCCTCCCTTCCGTCGTCCTCCTGGACGGTATGGTCGGGGGGAGGGGGGGTAGGAGGAGCGGAGGGCCCTCAGGGGGTCGTTGGACCAGGGCGCTATGTAGATTATCATAATAATAGCCGCCTAAATGTTATCTCGTATTAAGTCATACTTTTGTTTTCCTCTTACGCTCTGGGAACCCTTACCTCATAGCGGCGGCCGCGCGGGGAAGCTTTATTTCCGCGCAACGTAGCATGGAGCACCCGTACGACACCCGTCGTGAGACACGAGTCGGCACGATGAACGTACGACGGTGCGAGATGCAAGAAATCGCCGTCTGAAATCGTAATTGGAATCTCGGTGATTTAGATCGGTCACGTTGCTGCTGCCGTCGTTGCTGCAGCGACAGTCCCGTCGGTTTTAGGTTAGCTCGCGGAGCGCGGGAATTTCAAAGCGCACCGACGAGAAAGAGGCTCGCGGTATCGATGGGAACCGATCCGAAAGGAACGACGACAGGAGAAACGAATCCGATTGGGTCGAGAGAGAGAGAGAGAGAGAGAGAAAAAGGCGGGAAAACGTTGAATTTTGTCCCAGAAAGGCCGTTTCACAGACGCGACATCCCAATGGCATTCTGCGCGAGACATGTTAATTAATCGCTCCTATTATTAGATCCTACGTTCGTCGTAACTCCGTACCGAGAGAAGAATGGATTGGGAGAAAAAAGAGGGAAATATTGCGCAGTCGAGCGAATTAGCGATATCCCGTGGAAATACGGGAAATATGCGATGTTCGAATAGCTCTCCGAGCTCTCGAAATTTATGAATCATTCCTGCCGACGGATCTCGCATTCCTTGCAATCTTCGCGATGAGAAAGCCCGCTCGACGCTCACCGATGTCCGATTATTTATACAATCAGTCATTATTTACAGACAGCGGAGAAATACGCGAGTCGTAGTTGCGTTCTTGAAGGAAATACACCTGTGTCTGGTAGCAGGCGAGCTAATGGCCTAGCGCGTCGGAAGTTAATACCAACGCGGCATATACTACTAGGCGGATGACGTCATAGCGCGAACAATCAGGGAAACTCATGAAACGCGCCCTGCTCGACTGGGCGTGTTTACTCCGACGCAGTCGACGATCGAGCGTGTTTTCGAGGTAAGGGCTTGTAAGAAAATAGTTTGAGGTCCGGATTTCGCGTAACCTGTATAGTAAGCGAGAGCAACGTATGACCGTAGATCACCAGTGGATCGATATTAGGAAGAAACGAGGAGGCGACTTGGGCGGAAAGGAATCGAGGACACGCGTGTTGTTAATAAAGTGTCTATGAAGTGCTTACCGAGTGTCTCAAACAGCGGTAACGCGCGTTAGGATCGATTGATTACGAAAACACGCGTCTTCTCCTTCGGAGATACGATGATTACTCACACACGGACAATGCTCGTTGTCGCCTGTTGCTTCTGGCTGGGCGTTGTCGTGGTGCTCGGCCAGTACGAGTGGCAAGCCCGCGACGCCTTCGATGAGATCCGCTTGAAAATGGATAAGATTAACGAAGACAACTGCATGATACATCAGCCCGAGGAGTTGTTTTTATCGGAGGACACGGTGTCGCACCTGCCCGACATCAAGGACGTCAATATCAATCCCGTGTTCCCGAATCGCACCGCTTTGCTGCACCTTCACAACGTGGCCCTGAGCAGAGCCTTCTTCTGGAGCTATATCTTGCAGTCGCGCTTTATCAGACCCGCGATCAACGACACCTACGACCCGGGCATGATGTATTACTTCCTGTCCACAGTAGCTGACGTTTCCAGCAATCCCTACATCAACGCCTCTGCCATTTATTTTTCATCCAACATGTCCTACTCGCCATCCTACAGAGGCTTTTTCAACAAGACCATGCCTAGATTTGCGCCACGTACCTTCAGGGCGGATGACTTCAACGATCCTATACACCTGGAAAGAATATCCACCAGAAATACGTTCACCGTAAAGGACCTTGGAGCGTCTCCCTCTAACAGCCTCAGCAATGATTATACCACTGATTTTTATCGCATAAATGAATGGTGAGTTAGAATGGAAACTTGTGCATTTTAAAGCAGAGGTTGGAAAAAAGGGAGACAACTAACTCTCTGATGTGTGAAAACAAGCTTCTAAATTTAGAAATAAATTTCTGGTGGTTGACCGATCATCTCATCACATTTGTGACATTATTTCATTTGATTAGAATGAAAACTTATAACAAGTCTTACAGATTAACTTTTTCTTCTTTACAGGTACAGGAAATGGCTGCCAGATAATGTTGACTACAGGCACGACACTAAAACAACTTATCAAGTCGAGATCCGATACGCCAACAACACGAATGAAACGTTCACTTTCCACGGTCCACCTGGTAATGAGAGAGCCGGAGATGATTAAGAAACCTGTGAGTCTTGAATCGTATCTATTTTTCATCACCATTTGTCTCGCCACAGGCGCCGATGAAAATCCTGGACCTGTGAAGTGGACCAGGCCTTACTTCGATTGCGGCCGATCCAATCGTTGGATAGTGGCTGCAGTATCGCCTATAGCAGACATCTATCCACGCCACACAGGCTTTCGACACATCGAATATCCAACGTACGTTGTTGCGACTCAACAATACAAAAAAATATCTATATCTAGGAATGGTCGTTCCTTTAAGCTTCTTTCCTTCCCAAATTACCAATATATGTTTTATATATAATGATTACAGATATACTGCTGTTTCGGTGGTAGAAATGGACTTTGACAGAATAGATATAAATCAGTGTCCCAAGAGCAACGGGAACATCGGCCCCAATAAATTCGCCAATACCGCGAGATGTAAGAAGGAAACTACGGAGGTACGTGCAACGTCGTGATCGGTCAATCGAGTTACGTTCGATTAATTAATAAGTTCTCGATAATTAATAAGAATGATTATAATCGATAATTAAAATAATCGAGCGACACTCATTATCTGACTCTATGTGCGCAGTGTGAGCCGATACACGGCTGGGGCTTTCGAAGAGGAGGATATCAGTGCAGATGTAGGCCCGGTTACAGGCTACCAACTGTCGTGCGACGACCGTATCTCGGAGAACTGGTGGAGAGGGCTACGCAAGAACAATATTACAATGGTTTCGATTGCTTGCGTATTGGCTGTACGTATCTTCCTCTTTTTCGTTTCGATCGTGGCGTCGGTTATTGTGAACGACGCCAAGCAATGGTCTAATGGGAATTTCACTCCCTTCAGGGATTCATAAGATTCCGGCATTGTGGGAGAGAGCGAGTCCTCATATCAGGGAAAAGTATCTCGAACGTTATTATCAATACAGAAACAACTCGACCGGTCCGTCTGCGCTGCGCGAAGAGAAAATGAATGTTTTGAATGCTCTTAATTTCATCAATCAAATGGATGCGAAAACTTGCAAGAAGTACGTGATCACCTATGCGTATTTACGGTATAATATAATGTAACGTAAACAACACTTTTTGCACTTTGCTTTCAGTTACGCGCCGCAAGATCTGGTGTTACGCGGTGACATCAGTTACGGTGCGAAGGAATTCTTCGAAAATGAGGCGAAAATGGCGACGAGATTGGCGAACTTTATCAGCGCGTTCCTGCAAGTGTCCGATCCCCTGGAGGTGTATTCCGGCAAGAGGGTGACCGATAAGCCGCTCACGGAAGATCAGATGATGGGCGAAACGCTGGCTCTGGTATTGGGCGACACGAGGATCTGGTCGGCCGGGACCTTCTGGGACCGCAACAAGTTTACCAACCGCACGTTCTTCGCGCCGTACGCGTACAAGACTCAGCAGAACACGCGGAAATTTAAGCTCGAGGACCTGGCTCGACTCAACGGCACAGGTTAGGGAACAAAGGACTGTCGTCATGGTGAAAGTAACTCGGAATATGATTTTCAATTCGACTAATTTATGCGAAGTAAATTAGCGAGTCTTGCGGGTTGCAGACGAGGTGTATACGAAGAACGATTACTTCCGGACGTTGAAGGAACGCTGGGTCACGAACTTCGACCAGTTGGAGAAATATTACATGAAGATAAGGATCCGATTCGACGAGACCGGGGAGTACATGAAGAAATACGAGCATTATCCGAATTTCTACAGGTAAGGAGAAGGTGCCTACGCCCGGAATTGTTTATTGCAACATTTACCGACGATTTCCCGGTGATATCGCGTTTTATTGATGCCTCCGACGATAAAGCACAGCGGAGCATTAAAGTATAAAAGGATTACGTCTCGAAGGTTGAAGGGAGGGAGGAGTGGGGGGGGGGGCCTGATCTCTAAAGTACGATTTATTCTAATGTGTGGGAACGCGCATTGGGTCGTCCGTGTAGGGCAGCAAACCTGGACCATGGACACTGGACAACTCCGTACTTCGATTGTAACGGCAAGGTGAAGCAGTGGGTAATTACCTATGCATCCCCGTTTTTCGGCTGGGACAGCTTGAGGGAGAAACTAGAATTCAAGTAAGTGTGTGTGTTTGTGCGTGTATGTGTGTTCCATCGTCCGTGTGCAATCGCACGATGCGGCGTCGGGGGTTGCGTCTGCCTCTTCGTGCATGTTCGCGTATATGCTGGAGAAATTCAGTGTGAAAGACACGCTGTATAGTCCAAGGAACCAGTTTCGCGATCAAAAAAAAAAAAGGAGGGAGACGGAGAAGATCATATTTAACATTAAGACACTTATAGGGGTGTCGTAGCTGTTACCATGGAATTGCTTCAGCTAAACATAGACCAATGTGATGATAAATTTTACCTACCAAACGCATTCAAGGATACGCACAAGTGCGACAGAAAAACGTCATATGTAAGTCGACGTTCCGTTGTTATTTTATCAGATGCATCGCACGTCGGTGATGTCTATTGCGTATAAAATCAATAGCTGCGTTCAACAGGGAAAGGAGCTCAACGAGCACTCTATTGTTCGTGGTCGGAGTATTCTTTTAGATTATTTGTAGACCCAAAAGAATCTGTACGGGATCGATAATCGTAAGGCTCTCGTTTGGTTACATTATCTGTTGAATGTAGGCAATAACATCGCTGTTTCGTTGACGTTCGCTACAATTACAAATTCGCCATCTATGAGTAGTGTATTTTCTATATTTTCGTGGAAAATATAGAAAATATAGAGAGGATAAATTTTTAACTCAAATCCTATTTCCGCAGTGCGTGCCTATTCTCGGCAGAGGATTCAATACAGGTGGATACAAATGCGAGTGTAAACAGGGCTTTGAGTATCCATTCGAGGATTTATTTACGTATTACGACGGGCAGTTGATGGAATCCGAATTTGAAAATCTCGTTGTTGATAAAGAAACGAGGTACTTAATGCGCCTTCTGCTTTTTTTACACGTGATCAAATTATCCTTGATTACCGTTACGAGCTAATCTTGGAGACGTGATGTAAAATATATTTCGTGATATGTGATACAAATGTGATAGATTTTATGTTATTTTAGGTTCGATATGTTAAAATGTCGATTGGCCGGTGCTTCGTCGATTCAAAGCAGTTGGGTCCTACTGTTATCAGTCATCATGATATTCTTACCGGTTCAAAGAAGATGAATACGGAATAACTTTAGTTATTCGCAAGGCAAAGTATGGATTGTCGCATTTTTATACCAGCATTTTTACACCAACTTATAATTCATGCCGTCCATTACAAGAGTAAGTTAAGATATAAACGTCGCTAAATAGACGTAAGAAAAAAAATTATGAATAGATTATTTAGTAAGATTTTCTTAATGCAGTGTTAAGTATTATCCACATGGAATAATGAATCGTAATTTTTTATATGTATCTACAGAGTGATTCGAAGCAAACGTTTGTCCTTGAAAAATCGTATTCTTGATTGAATTCTATGAGACGATTTTTTCTCTGGCAAAATTTTGGTAAATGCTTTGTTTCTGAATTATAATGAAAAACAATAGTTTATTACGAATCCGACAGCCAGAAACGACGTTACATATATAGCGTAAATTATCACTGTCAAATACGTAAGCCTATTATTTTTCACTATAATTAAAAATAAAACCAAAATTTTGCAAGAGGAGCCTCAGAATTCAATCGAAAATAATACGACCTTTCGAGGACAAAGGTTCGTTTTGAATTATCCTGTATATATTAACATAAATATGTATAACATACAGAATCTGATTCTCAGTATAGAAACATGTCTACATAAATATCTTTTTGAAATTGTTTATGATGATGTAGCATTGAGAGCAAGAGAAATAGAATGAGATTAATATATTTATCCTTTTATTCGTTCAACCATAATCATATAATAATGGCATCGAAGAGATCTAATGGTTGTACAACTAATCCGTCCTGTGATAGATTATATTAGTTCAGTCTTTCTTAGTTGCCNTATAAGTGTGGATATTACATTCTATAAAAATATAAATTTTGTTATACGATTTTACTTAAACTATGATTTACGTAAACTATTGCGAGTTTATTAAAAAAAAAAAGCGAAAATAACTTAAATCTCTTTTGGGTTTTTTATAAAATAAAATCGAATCTCTACACAAGGCTACATTTTTAATACATAAAATAGTATATTAACAAATATGCTTATATTATCAAACCCAAATGAAAGTGTTCAAGAAGACTCGAACGGTACAGTGCCTTTGTATGTACATGTATACAATTATAAAAATTTACATGCATATATGTGTGTCTATTTTTACATTAGAAGCAACTCAAAGGCAATATCTTTTGCAGACAGTACAATATACACAAGACTTCTATTGCATACGTTTTTAATGTAAATGTATGTAATTCTAGAAATTAGTATATAGGAAAGTACAATTTTGAACCATTTGTAAATTTTAATGCTTTAGATGGATTGATTGACAAGTGCTTAGATTATATCTTAGATTGACTATACATGCGAACTTGGGAGAACTATGAGACATAATAGATATTAACTACGAAAAATTACATTTCCTCCAGTTAAAATTGCATTTACGAAATTGTCATGATTTGTATGTGTATTATTGATGC